CCCCAAAACCCCAAAACCCCAAAACCCCAAGATGGGAGATCATCGTTTTAAAAATAAAAATTGATTTATTAATCTAAAAATATTAATTGCTTTTTTAATTAGATTAATTATCATTTCTTTGTTAAGATAATGAAGAGTGTCCCTAACAGACACACTATCATTCCAAGAACTCCCATTAATGCTGGGTATAGCTGTAAAAATATTATCTCCAAAAGCAATTAGAATGGAGATTAAATCATAATCATAGCCTAAATTAGACTACCTTTACCGTAGGCAGCTGAACCTGAAAATAAAATTTATCCAAACACTTGGAATAATGAACTTAGGAAAACCATAGTAAATTCGTACAAAGTGTATTGTTCACCGTATAATTATTAAAACAATGCCTGCAGAGAAAATATTAGTGAGTTTAAAAATTGAGTATCAGAAGCATACTAAAATATCGATAGTCTTGATACTTTAATTACTCTTGTGATCAGAGTATTGATGACAAAAATACAGCAATTAACCAATGATAGCGCAACTGGTATGAGGACACTCAATCTATCTGCTTCATTAATACCTGCATTTTGGGATATTGAATTACCCTCCACTTCATATCTTCCATTTGCTATGAGAATAATACTCAGTGTTACAGCAGCAATCCCAATAATATGTCTCACTCCTAATTTTTCATTGAACAGAAAGTAAAATGCGATTGCAGAAAGGATGGTGGTGGTGCCATATATTGAAAGAACAATAGAATTACTAACTCCTGATCTAACAGATGTTTCCAAAATGTAATATAAGACATATTGAACAACATACTGCAATAAAGATCTTATAATGACGATAAATAGCACAAATCCGTTCAAGCTTCCGTCATCTTTGAAGTATGCCGATCTAGATTTTGACCAATAGGATCCATACTTTCGCTTACTCTCAATGGCGGCTAGGGAGTGATACATGAAATAGAAAATAAGGTTAGCAATCTAAATCAGGAAAACCATTCTTAGTTCAAGGGCTTGACCAACACTGACATACATAAAAAAGTTATGCGATCCGTAGCATAAAGCAACAATTATACCTGTGTATAGATAGTATTTCCCAAAAAATCTGGCTATTCTACTGGTATTTTTAGAATCGCTTTATTATATCGCTGATTGATTTTCCTCTTTTGGTAATAGAGGCTCTTTTAAATCATTTTAAATAACCGCACTCATTAATGTTTTTATTAATTTTATTACCAAATACTTTATAATCAAACAGGATATTTATATATTCATTAGAAAATTTTTTCTAACCTAATTGGTTTTTCTTAATCATTTGGGGTTTTGGGGTTTTGGGGTTTTGGGG